AAACAACATATACTAGCATTTTTATCAAGTTATATGTTGAAAATATATCAACAAGATATACCCAAGAAGTAGGGAACTCACCTTTGCCATAAAATCTTCTTTGGAATCTGCTTCTACTTTACAACCTCTCATGTTTCTCCAAGAAAATTATAGGTGATTGAAAGTAGTCCAAAAAACCCCTCCCGTTCACATGCACTTGCTATTTATAGTAAGTGCATAACCGACCTCCAAGGGTACTTACCATGCAACTTTCATATAATAAAATCTACACACAAACCCACCTATATATGTTTGTGTGTGTGTGTGTATATATATATATATAAATAATTACACTACTCAAACACGATTATATCGAAAGAACCATAAATCGATTCATCTCCAAACCTTGAATGCCAAACACTAACCCCGAACTTCCCATTACCATATTACATTAGTATCTAATCAACTTGGATACCGGAATCGAATATTACACAGTGAATGGCTGAAAATCCGTCAGGCCATTTAGCGCTCAAAGTCAAGACATAAGCCAATAATTGAAGACATCCTCAGCGAGTTGATCAAGAAGATGTCCAAATTTGTTGTTGTTCCTACAAAGCCAACATTAATGCAAGGTGGAAAAAGATACCTTCTGGTCCTAATGATGGACCAACTATGAGGAATGAACATGAAACAAAATTCTCTTTGGAGGAAATCCTGAAGGATTCGAAGAAGCCATATATCTCTATGCTGAACCTATCCTTGCCTGCGAAGTGTCCTTACACGCCCAACACTATGCACCTAAAGCATGAGTATGGATTTATATTCCTTAACTATGATGGCGAACACAACTTTCAAAGAGTATCTGAGTTCTGTCTCTGTCCTACAGAACATCTAGATTATCTAAGATATTGGTTGGACATTGACCTGTATGGTGAGATGATAGACCGCAATATCAGAAAAGGATTTCTACGTCGAAAGATGCTCGGAGAAGAAGTACATGGTACAATATCAGAAAATCTTATTTTCAATGTCTTTTCTTTCAATGTACAACTTATATGTAATAAGTCTAGAATGTATTGTTGTAATACTTGTATCCTTCCTTTTGATTAACATAAGTATTTCACTAGTATCACTGAAAAAAATCCCTGAGAAGAGTAATAGGGACACATGTCTATAAGTTCCAGTTTGCTCTTACAGTCACTGATAATCTCTAATTAGTGAACATGCTTTCAGTTTCTCATTTTGTACTTGTCTTTCTTAAACTTTTAACTTAAGAAAACCTATATAAGAAAAACTAACTCACTAAAAAAGATCCCAAAATAATTAAAAGGGACATGTACTTTACGTGTAACTTTTCCTTACTATTATACCCTAAACAATTTTCTTTATGTTGCTTTGTCATCATTAAATAGGGGAAATTGTTGATCCTCTCTCTCATTGATTTGATGATAATCTCTTTTACCCATCGAAGTGTTATGTTTCTGTCTATTCAGTTCCAGCAATGGTCACTGAGTCTGTTCAGTGATCGCCGAAACATGTATGCTAACTCTATAGCGACAGTTATACTTCAAGAAGACAAAACTCACACCAAAGAACCTTCAGCAAAAGTCGAAGATTGAAACTGAAGATTAGTGACTAGCACATTCGTGATTTGAAGTGGTATTCAGTGAATACAACCTGGTCAGCATAAGCCTCAGTGAATGCTGAAGAGACCTCCAGCGTCATTCCAACATTCAGCGATCAAATGAAGCTTGCCATGCACGATTGTTTTTGTCTTGTCCTTCCACACACAAAGGACAAACCCATATCCTCTCAAGAGTATAGTACTGCACGGAGCCGATTAATTGACTCTAGTGCTCACCAACTCTATCAAATGATGTATGCTCATGAATAGACAAAAGTACTATTCATTGTAGCAAAATACAAGCTTTCCTCTAAAAGCTTGACGCGTGTTCTGCCTCTTCTGAATTGTATTTAACACAATGAGTATAAATAGCTGAGTGCTCTCTCTACCCAACAAACATATACACATACAAGGAAGACACAAGCATATTAGAATTCTCTCTCTATAATTCTAAGAAGCTCTCCCAAGAACACTCTTCTAGTCTTATTTTTTATCGACAAATCTTCTTATATTTGCTAAATGTATTTGTGTGTATCTCTAGATTGTTTTAGATAGGTATTTCTTTATGTTGTCTATTCCACAAATAATCTGTAAAAATCTGTATTGATCCTTCTATATCAATATATATTTTTAAAAGTGAAAGTTACTGTGTTTGTATTCATCCCCCCTTCTACAAACTGATCACCTCTAAACTCTTGTAGATCCGACTGAGACCAACAAATAGATCAAAGAATCCAATATAGCACAATAGAGTTACATCTTTCCCATCACCTTTCTAAGACTGCATTATTAGTAGGACGAGCACAAGAACCACCCACAAAACCGAGTTTAGTTTTTGTTTCTAATTCCAAAACCATGTCACATGACCAAACTTTGTAATTATCAGTGTCACTTAATTTCAGATTGAAAATATGAATTACGGTAGTATCACTAGGATGAAGATAAAAAGGATCATAACAATCCAGTTTAGCAATCAAAGACTGCTCTAGTTTTTTTTAAAGGTTCAACCTAGTCATGGTAAGGACAAGTAAACAGATATACACAAGGGTAAAAATCCTAAGTAGCTGAACACGTGATTCCCACACACTCTAAGGTGCTAGGTCAAGTCAACCACTCAGGCACCTAAACAAAGAAAGCACACAAACGAAAAAACAGAGTAACAGATATGCAAAAAGATCAACAACAAGAAGCTATCAAAACATATAAGAAAGTAACCAAAGTAAGAAATAAACCTGCCTATAGTCCAAGAGCACCGACTCTATGCTCTTGCTACCAACAGAGGGAAGGACCGACTTATAGAGTTTTCTTGAATTCTTGCACATCGAAAATAAAACCAGAAGTAGCCTAAGAGGTCTTGCAAACCGAAGACAAACCATATGACCAAAAAAAAACCCTGAACAAAGGCTTAATAGACAAGAAAACACGACCTATATTTCACATAGACTATATCAAAGAATGCTCAGATCTACAGATGAATAGACCAATCAGTAAACAGAAGCTTTAGAATTCAGATCGGACGTAAGAAGACACGGTCCAAGACACCTCAAGTCAAGTAAAACCAGAAAGCATAGGCCAAGAAGAAGGTTTGTACACTTGGACCAGATTCGTACTTAGACCAAACCTAATAAGGTCAAATCTAAGATGAACAAGACTGAACAACTTCAAACGAAGAAAGATCTAAAACAAATTCGGACCAGATCCACAAAGCTTAGGCCAAGAAAAAAAATGTTTTCTTACCCAAAAATTTCAGATCGGATCTAGTAGAATTAGGCCAAGAAGAAAGGTTTTTACACTTAGACCAGATCTAAGACGAACAAGTTTGAATAACATCAAACGAAAAGAAAATCTAGATAACAAACAAATCTAGATACAAAACGAACGTAAGAAATACCTTTTGTTCGATTATGAAAAAGAGCGTATGATTCAGAAGCACATAAAACTAAACAAAAAAGAAAAAAGGGTTAGATCTCAATGAAAACGCTGAAGTCACCAATGAGTCTGACGTTCCTCCATGAGACACTGAACCATAGCTCTCATACCATCATAAAATTGTATAACAATGTCAACATACAACAAAACCTACAGATGATTAATCATCCTCAAGATGTTTGAAGATGAAACCCTAAGATACAAAACTATTTTGAGAGTATAAATTATAAAAATATGACTGAGACCTTAAACAATAAACAAAATATACCTTCTTATATAGCATGCAAATTTACATAAAGACCTTTCTACAACTCTAAAATAGTTCTGCTACTCTTGAACATCTATCAAATATGAGGCATAGTCCTTATGTATTATGTGAAAACTCTTGTGATACAGTCACTCCTTGAAACAATATAAAACAACAATAAACCACTTAAGTAAGGAAATATCAAGATTATTGCACAACATAATCAACAATATTCCAACAATCACACAAGTGATTTGAATTTGAAGCATGTAGACGTTTAAGGGGCCATTTGGTAAGAAATGACAAAGAATAGGACACACATCGGTACCCACGCCATAAATCGCACTTCGAATTCGAATACATACTCTCACAACTCACAAGCGCGAAAACAGAGGTTCAACGCCCACTCCATTTCAAATTTCAACAATATAATACTGCCCAAAAAATAACCCCATCTCCTTCTTCTTCGATCTCTTGATTTCCTTCAAGTTCCCCTTGAATCACATCAGATGTCCTTTCCCATCCTCTAACGATATTGTAAGGTAAAATTTATCATATTTCGAGTAACGCGTCAATGTTATTTGGGTTCTTGTTTTTGCTGTAAAAAAATTATCCATTGGTGTTCCTAAATCTAGGGTTTGATGGGATACATTTCAATCTATGTTTTTCTTTTCAAGCTGTTTCCTTTCAACATTATGATGTATTTAATGAAATTTGCCTCTTTTATGCTGCAATTACGTACATTTAGCGTGACCTCTTTTTGCTCTTTATTTCTGTTTTGGGGAAATTATGAAAGGAAAGAGTCCATCATCAGCGTTTCTTATTTAGGGTTTTAGTGCGTATAATTTGGGCCATTTATTTTACGAATGTCTTTTTTGTGTTGGAAGTGAACTGGTTCTTCAATGCAAGTGCTTTCCCGTTTCTAATGCTCCTCGCGGCAGTTCCCTTCATTTCAAATAATGGTTTTGGTTTGTTAGAGTATGGTATGTATTATATCTTTGAGGGGTGTTTTATTAGAAATATCAAACCGTAATTAATGGGATTGAAAATAAAATAAACGGTTTGCTTTTATATAGCCCATTTTCTCATAAGCCACGTTATTTTCACTTCCAGGATGCATGTGTTGTTATTCTGTAATTTTGCAGTATGAAAACTTATGTATCCAGTAATGATTTAGTTATGTTCTTGCAGCTTGTACCATTTGATGTGTGATCTGGATTGACATCTGATGTTGAATGGCATGAAGATGCTTCTATGATGAGCATCATGCGTTACATTGTTTTGTGTTTGTTGATGGAAGTTCAATAACTTTGGGCCTATACCAGGATTCTGTTTAAGGCGCAGAAGATGAAGATGCATGCTCCTTTGAAATCCAAAGGAATGGCCAGTAGGGTTAACAATCAGCATGTTATTTTCGAGCTAAAACAACGTGTTGTCCTTGCCTTAAATAAGATTGCTGACAGGGATACATATGAAATCGGGGTGGAGGAACTTGGAAAAACAATTGAGAGTTTAACTCCAGATGGGGTTTCTCCATTTTTGTCATGCATTTTAGATACTGATTCGGAGCAGAAGATAGCTGTTCGAAAGGAGTGTATCAGATTGATGGGTATGCTTGCAACCTTCCACCAGGATCTCATTGGCCCATACCTTGGCAAGATGGTTGCTAGTATCGTTAAACGACTCAAGGATCCAGATTCTGTTGTAAGAGAAGCGTGTATTGAAACGATGGGTGTTTTGGCTTCTAAAGCGAGCACTGCTGACAATGAGCCTGAGGGAAGCTTCGTTCTACTAGTTAGACCTCTTTTTGAAGCACTAGGCGAGCAAAATAAACATGTTCAATGTGGTTCAGCGTTGTGTTTATCTCGTGTAATTGATCATACACATGCCCCTCCGTTGTCTATTCTACAACGTATGTTGACAAGGACGATAAAGATGCTGAAGAATCCACATTTCATGGCAAAACCGGCCATGATCGAGTTAAACAGAAGTTTTATACAGGTCAGTTTGTGAGTTGACTCATTTAAATGGCATCGTATTTCTGGTTGCCAACAAGGATTTTCTTGTGCTCACAGCTCCTATATCTTTGACAAAGTCGAATTTCTTAGATTAAGATCCATATATAAGCTGCACATAATAAATATTAAATGAACAAATTTTATGTGATTTTTTACTGCTTTTAGCAACTTTACCAAACCAAACTAAACGAACTCGACAAATCTTACCTGGAGGTGGGGTCTGTGGAGGGTAAGGTGTATGCAGAGCGGCTGTTTCTAGACATATTTACGGCATAAATGGAATTTTTTTTTTGATTAACATGGATATCCAACCCGCTATGCGAGCTGACTAATCCCAGGGCAACCACCTGCTTTGCAGATAGCCCGGAGTCACCGCATTTAAACCTCCATGGCCACAAGGGGATTTGTATTCCTCCTTGGATTGTCTACTGGGCATAAATGGAACTTTATGGCGCACAACTAGAGTTTCAACTAGATTGTCTACTGGTCGTATAACGCATGATATTATATTATGCATCTTTCCATATTGTAACATGAAGCACTTCAAAGTACCTTGTTATAATTTCAGGCCGGGGGTGCTTCGACACAAAGTATGCTAACTGCTGCAATTACTGGCATCCAAGAAGCTCTTAAGAACAGTGACTGGAGAACACGAAAAGCTGCATCAGAAGCATTAGCAGAAATTGCTTCAAGCAATGGATTGTATTCTGGTTCTCTCAAGTCGTCTTGTATTCGTTCCCTTGAAATGTGTAGATTTGATAAGGTTAGGGTTATTCTACATGTAACATCCTAAAAGATATACTTCACTGTATGTTGGATCCAAGGGTTGCTTCTTTGATATAGGTCAAACCAGTTAGGGACACAGTACTTCATGCCTTACAGCTCTGGAGAAGTCTTGTAGGAACTGAAGCATCTGAACTTTCAGAAGCTGGATCTTCTATTAAAGGTTTAGTGGTGACCGGCCGCCTGGCCGGTTCTGTAATCATTACATAACACGAATTTGCACTCTTTGCCATTAAGCATATAGCTCAATGTTGTTATGGTTTCTTTATGATATATTCTTGTACCGGTTGAAAAGTCGATTTTGGCACGATTTATTGTGGGTAACTGTTTCACATTGTTCCTTGTTGCTCGACAGGAATAAAGCAAACTTAATGTTGTCATTTTTATGCATACATGATACATATTAGGTGGTTACATCTGCATATGTTTCCTAAGTAATGCAAAATCTTCATAACTGTGCTGGGTTAGGAAGCATTTAATCTTTTACTCCCTGCTTCCCAAAAAAAGATACAACATTCCCTGTTCTGGAAAGATTCATTTCCAAATTTACATTAACAACCATTTTACAAGATACAGTAAGTTGACTGTGGTTCACAAGGTTTTCTCAATCTTGTCTTATTTTAGTTTTTGTTACCTTCCTTTATTGTTTACATAGAAAAGGTGACCCCATCCCCTTTCACCTTTATGTTTCTAAACTTGATTAAGCTTCACCAATGTGGTGGTGGGGTGGGGTCTTTCGTTGAATGTTCAGACATAGCAGTGTGATAACTTGAACTCTGTTGCATAAATTGGCTCAAGATTCCCTAACATTTTGTGAGATTTAAGTTCATTTTATAACATTCTGTTCAACTCTCAGGTGATTTCAGTGACATACCAAATACTACTGAATCTACATTGAAGACAAAAATTCACCATGAATCAGTTAGAAAAAGGGTTCCTCCTTCAGTTAGGAAAACTGGTCGTAGTTATGTGGAGAGTCCTCAGCATTCCAAAGCAAATGATTGGCATATAGAAGTCAGTGTTCCAAAAACATGTAATATCTACACTCATGATGAAGAATCTGAGGGAAGTTCTGTTACAAAGACATTTGAAAGGACGAGATCTGATATCACATCAACTCAAGATATTGGATATGAATATGTACCCATGGATGACAAACAAGAATTCTCTTCTGCATCCAACATTGACACCGGTAAGTTTGGAACTAATTTGCCACCAGTCACGGGAGATTCGCATGCCAAGAGTGAATTGGTGAAATCGAAGGGAGTAAATCAACACCAAGCAGAAGAAGAAATTAGCACTGAAGAACAGAGGTACTTTTCAAAGAGTCAGGACCGTAGAAGTCTTGATTCGACTATCACAGAATCAAGTTCCGAAACCATGCATGGGCAGCGTGCCTGTTGCATGCAAACAGCAAAAGAAATGGCTTTCATTCGAGAGAAGCTTTTAGAAATAGAAACCAAACAGTCAAGTCTCTTGGATCTGTTGCAGGTAATTGCCTTCTATCCTTTTTGAACAAATTTTTTTGGTGTTCTCATTTTCGAATAATAGGAAGGATTAGCAGTATACATTGCTCTTATTCAGTGGCAAACAAGTTTGAAACAATTACATCTGATGATGTTGGTTGGTTAGTTCTACATGCTTGCAATCAATATATATATATATATATATGTATAGATAGATAGAGAGAGAGGGAGGGAGGTTCATGTAGGAATCATAAATATTTTGAGAACCACGAAACCACCTATGTCATGCATTATTCATGATGAATATCGTGATAGATATTCATGATGCATAATATTTATGATCATTCGGGGTTATTTATCATGAATAAGACATGAAATAGGTGGTTCCCCGGTTCTAAAAATATTTATGATTCCTATATATATCTATCAGCATTATCCAGCCTCTAAAACTTAACAGTGTAAAGCACTCAGGACATCATATTCGACATACGGCATTTGAGTTTGCTGGTCTTGAATGTTTATATAGTCTAATTATATTGAGCATCTGTAGTTCTTGCAAGCATATGTTCTCTAAATTTACTTGAATACTAAATGAATTTATCAGGTTTTTGCTACGAGGACAATGGATAGCTTATCCATGATACAATTGAAGGTGTTAACTTTAGAAGATGTGGTGGATCAAATATCTGAAGATATGAGCCATGGAGGAAGACGTTCTGAATCAACTGCCAAATTTTTGAAGAAGAGTTCGACTACTGCTTCTCCTAGACTCTCAACATGCACTCCAAGGTCGTCTGTAGATATACGTAGTAGGCAATCTCCATTGCAGCCTATGAGAAAATCTGATACATGGGAAGACTCCACGTCTTCAAGGAGCAAAGCTGGCAGTGGAGTAGTAGATTCATGGATGGATCCCATGGTAAAAGTTAGTAGAAATCCTGCAGGAAAGGACATGCAGAAAAACAGCTCTGGGTTGGGAAACCATAGAGGTTTGAATAGAAATGGTGGTGCTGGATTCGCTCCCACTTCTTTTTCTAGTTCTAGACATAACAATTCAGAAGTGGAGTCCAAACTTATAAAAGGCTATCTATCAAAAGGAGACCTAGACTCTGCATATGTTGAAGCTCTGAATTCTGGTGATGAACTGGTTTTAGTTGACCTTCTTGATAAAACAGGGCCTGTTTTGGAAAGCTTATCAAATAGAACTGCAAATGATATTCTTACCACTTTGGCTTCATTCTTGACCGAACAACAATTCATGACTTCTACAATCCCTTGGCTGCAGCAGGTAACTTCAAATTGGTATTTTTGTTGCTTTAATGGCATAAAATTGAGGTTGCTCTTGGTGAAGGAAAATAAAATGACTTTGGGGGTGTTTGGTTGGTTTTCCATCAAGTCTTGTATGGATAAAGCTATCTGTGTGGATTAATCTATCTATTTAGATTGGTAAGGTTTTTGTTTGAGAGGAGGGTTTTATCATAGATGGAAGGAGCGTGCTTTTTAATTGGGAGGGGCAGGTTTGAAAAAAAAAACTTGGCTTTCTGCATAAAACTCCCTCATTAGAAGCTTACCGAATAGGCCACTTTCTACATCATTAAGCCACTATCAAACAGTCATGAATAGCTGACTGAATAAGTTGTGAGTCCCATTAAGCTGCTAAGAAACAGGCCCTTTGTTAAGTAATAAATAAGTAGTATACAGAAATGTATCGTTGTTGGCAGATTACATGTGATGAAGTTTGCCTTTTGAGCACTTTGTAACGACTATTATATCTATTTTCTGGTTTAACAAAACAAGATTCTTATATGTTATCATGTTTTTCAGGCGGTGGAGTTGAGTAGCGGCCATGGACCAAACCAATTTGTACTCACTGCAAAAGCAAGAAGACAGCTGTTGGGTGCAATTCAGGAAGCTGTAAACATGGAGTTTCCAAATGCTATGGAGAGGAGATCTGTTGCACAGTTAGTATCAAGACTGCATCAAGTTTGGGGTAAGCAAAGCACACATGCAACTTACATACTTCAGTATAGATTACTATTCTTGATTGGCACCAACATAAAGATATAATCAAATCGACTAAAAAAACCATTCTGATAATAAAATAGTGATTACGACCAAACTTCTTTTGGAAGTATATAATAGTTATATACGGCAATGAAACTCACACACACTTCTCAACTTTGGTGAGGTTGGAAACCTTGACCTCTAGGAAGGTTTGGGTTACCATACCACTGGACCAGAGACCCTTTTGTCCCTGACCAAGCTTTACGAGATTAGCATCCCCTCCATATCTTAAAAACTCCACACCTTCCTTTTGAGATGTCCATAAGACTCGTCATGTTTCCTTTTCTGGTAAGTTTACTTGCAGATCAACCTCTCCACCCCTCAATGTAGAGGTATGGTCCCCTCCCCGACCCTACTCCATGTGGACTTCACTGGGTTTGTTTGATTTGAATTTTGTAATCTAACTAACTCATTGTCGCGAAAAATTGATGATAGTGAGTTATTTGGCATTATTAGAGGGCGTACAAGTCATTTGGTTAATAGTCATATTTTTCTTAAACTATGTCTCCTGTCAAGCATTATAATTTTAATCAGACGGAGAAGCCTTAACGTTGCCAAAACCAGTCATAATCCAATTGAAAACACTGTAGAGCCTTAGACATGAAGCGAATGGATTGTAGATTGGCCATCTCAACAAAATATTGGTTTCACCTGATGTACCAATCTTGTCGACATGTCTCTCACACACAGCACACATAGTAAAGGTAATAATATCTTCATATGTGAATGGTCTTCCTTTTGCAGGAAATTGCTCTTGAGATGGCTCCTTGTGGTAACATGGAGTGCTTATGAGGTTGAGGATTTGCTCATTAGAAGCTAAAGCTTTGAGTTCTTGTTTTGAATTCTAGTCTGCTTGTAAGTTTATAGGCGAAACTTGAACATGATCATGATGTTTTCGTTTGAATGTGAAGCTGATATATCTTCAAGACCCATCAGATTAATCGAAGTACCTGCAAGCTGGTCCTGACCACCCACGGTTACAAAACAAAAAAAAGTTGGGCTTTTGTTTGTACTGAAGTTGTTGAAGTGCACACAAACAAATACATGACTATTAACCAAATGTTATAAAATGCCCCTCAACTTATTGTATATTTGTGGAATGACATTTAAAACGATTTTAACAAACAAAAACAAACAAATACACAAAATCAACACTTATCTCAGAAGCAATAATGAACAATTAAAGTCAGTGGAAAATATCGCTTTTGTATCAAAATAAGATGACAAGTATTTGAAGTCAATAACCCAAAGAGCTATGAATTAGATCTTGTACAACAAAGTTTCCACCAAAAACATGTTCATTTTACATCTTAGTCTCCTTCGGAGACTTGATTTGGCGATCACCTTCTTTCACTTGGTTTTCATTCTTCTTGGGGGCTTCAAACAAGGTCACGCTTCCGCACCCACTTTGAAAAAGAGCCTCTTCTTGACCATTTTCGCAGGTCTGGATGGATTCGAGTGTGTCAACAACCTGGCTCATAATCGGCCTACCTTTAGGGTTTTGACTGAGACATTGGTAAGCCAGATTGGCAACTTTGATGGCAGTTTTAGATGAATATTGACCTTCCATTCTGGGGTCTAATATTCTCACAAGCTTCTTGTTGTGGACCAGAAGCGGTCTAGCCCACTCCACCAGGTTGTGCTCACGGCTAGGCCGACTCTTGTCCATGGCTCTCCGACCAATCAGCATCTCAAGGAGCACCACCCCGAACCCATATATATCACTTCTAGCTGTCAAGTGTCCTGCCAATGCCATCAAATATATGTATTCAGCACACATGACCCAGGAGTTTCAAGTATAAGGTTCCATTTCACAAACTATTTCAAAACGTTGTATGTAATCTCAAAAAAAGCCAGAGAGGTAGAGTTTAGGTTTGCATACATCTCACCCCCCAAACCCTACTTTCGAGTAAGATTTACTGGGTCTATTGTTGCTTCCAATTTTGGCAGTGTGTTATGATTAAGAAGTTAAGTGATTGTTTCAGGTACAAAAGTAAGAGCATTAAGCTAATAGTAATGGAAAACTGGTAATTTCATTATTACAACAGATAAAAAAAATATAAACAAAGAGCAGGTCTTTATTGGAATGAAGGGAAGATAGAAGATATATAGGGACAGATTTATGTATGGACGTGTGGTTGAATTACTTAAATCGCCTAAAACACAACCCATGCTAGGACCAAAACAGAAGCAACAAAACAGCCTACCATTAAATAGCGGTGTTAGGGCAGTTATTTGGGGTTCATTTAGCGCGGGACTGCTATTTGACCACCGCTATAGTCTATTAACAACATAGATAAAGCATGACCCTCATATCAGAGAGAAATCTTTATGTTCAACATTTCCGTTGCATTATGCAAAGGGTATTTACTGTACAATTCACAAAGAAGTAACAAACCAATTACTAAGATTCTCCACTTGGATAATCATCAAATTACAAGTTAAATTATTTAATCCCATATACTTTCTATTTCTTGTTAGAACCAATCCAATCCAAACCCAATATATCGGGTCCACCTGCATCAATTTCTTGTTCACAATAATAATTCGGAACACACACGAAGTAAACCCAAAGAATATTCGACATCTATTACCAAGTTCATGATCTAAATCATCATTGGACACAAGTGAAAGCTCGAGAAATAGATACTTTTCCCTTCTACAAGGCACAAGGGTAAAACAGTCGTATGCCATTAACTCCCAATATTATCATGCTACTATTAATACACTGTAGACTCATAGGCTTGAATATAGCATAATACAATTTACATGCAGTATATATTCGTGTGGTGTCACTACTCAAAAATTCAGAACTAGGATGATTTAGATTCGATCATCCTAATTCAAATTCATAGTAACCATCAAATATTTAATTGCATCCGGTGTAGGTATATTCAAGTTCTTATCTGATTGATGTGGGATGAACAGTATTTGAATTCCACATGTTATATATATATATATATATATATATATATATATATATATATATATTAGGGTTGGGTTCCAGTAAGAAGGGAAGTCATGGTGAGAAGGATAAGAAGAGATCTCCACCCTTGGATCAATCCTAATTGAATGTCGACACTAATGAGGTGCACCGAGATTCACCGGATCAATTCCCTTCTAAAGTGCAATTCATGGGTGGGCATGAGATTAAAAGAGATCAAGGGTTCACATCTCTTCTTACGCTTCTCACTATAACTTTCTTTCTCACACGATCCTTCACCTATATATATATATATATATATATACAAAGAAGTTTACACTAAAACACAACTCACCGGTCATGACATATTCAGGTGCTGCATATCCATAGGTACCCATAACTCGAGTTGATACATGGGTTTGATCTCCCATAGGCCCATCCTTTGCAAGTCCAAAATCAGACAGCTTTGCATTGAAGTCCTGCAAATTTTATTCAAATTAAAAATGATTCTTTGTTACTATTCCTTAAAATATAACGGATATGTCTAGTAAAACAAGTCACAGTGACTAACCGCGTCCAACAAGATATTTGATGTCTTGAAATCCCGATAGATGATAGGCCTTTCGGCATCATGGAGAAAAGCAAGCCCTTTTGCAGCATCCAAAGCAATCTTCATTCTTCTTGACCAAGTCAATGTAGCACATACTCCTTTTACACATAAACACCGACAGCAAGAATACCAATAATGAAAAACTTTCCACATTTTTTGTGCACATGAAATATAATAGCATCCAGATTCAAAAGAGCATTTGGTTTTTCTCAAAATGTATTATTTGTTTGTGACTGAAATAGTCGGGAGAACCTCTAACTCGCAAAAACATGAGCCAGGCTACGCTATCCTTCTTTTTGTTCCTACCAAAAATTTGTTTATATCCCACTCGAAAGCAGGGTCTGGGAGGGGTAGGATGTACAAACCGGTCATCTACCCCAAAGAGTAGAGCATTTGTTTCCGTGGAAGACCCCAGATTGTTGGGCTAAATGAACCAGTCTTGGAACCTGATGGGCATAACCCAAAAGTACATGCCTAAAAGGCCGAAGACGTGGTATCCTCAAAATCCGTCTTTAGTGAACTTGGAGCCAAAATGTCATCTCATAACAACCTATAAACACGTGAGTGGATATGTAGAACTTTTACTTGTTCTGTCTACTCGTATTTTTTTTCTTTGTTACTTGCTCCCATACCTCTACTTAGGGGTTGTTTACCCAGTAAGATTCAACACTCTCACTTATTTTACCCGGGTAAGATTCCAGTCCATTAAAACGGCATTATATGTAATAATTTACCAGGTAAGACTCTCGGTCCTTGCCATCGCTCTTATCGGTTAAGATTCTCAATCTGTGCCATGTTCATCGGGTAAGGTAAGTGGTAAACACTTACCAGGTAAGTGTTTAGTGAACAGCCCCTGAGTTCCCCTTCAACCTTATACCTAGGAGTGTATTTAAGTCAAGTATGAAGCTTGGCCCATGCAAATATGGGTTGGCTTGGACTTGCCAGACCTCTCTAAGCTCAAAAAATCCAAACGCAAGCCATAGACTCCTATGGACTTGCATAGGCTCAAATACAAGTGAGCTTTGGCTTAGTTCCTACAGGGTGTGTTCCTATGTTCACATCTTGTATAAAGTTAAAATTAGATCCTTGAGATAAAATTATAACTAAACGCTTTTCATGAAAATCACATTTAGTAGTCTTAAAGAGTGGTTTCAAAAGGCATAATTTATACTAAATGGCTTGTCTATGCTCATTATGGTTGGCTCATTTAGGCTTGTTGACTTGTTGAGCCCGAGCCATGCTAGGCTCGCCAAGCTGTTGTAATAGTGATACTAGGCTCAAGCTCGACTCAGATAATTAAATAAGTCATGCTACTCTCATCAACGTTCCTATGAGCTCTCTCACAAGCCAGATCTTTTGGTTTACACCCCTACTCATGCGCAATAAAGATATGAGCCCCTTTGGCAATCCATTGTTTTTCACATAATTGGATTTCCATTAAAGAAACAAGATTCAGCATTTACACCACAAATTTGGGATCGTCTTAAATTTATAAAAAGATATGCACAAAACAAGAGAGAACATATTGATATATTTATAATAGATTAGCTACTCACTGCGGAATAGGTGTTTCTCCAGGCTCCCAGATGCCATATATTCATACACTAAAAGGCGGTGATCTTCCTCACAGCAGTATCCAATAAGCTTCACAAGATTTGGGTGTTGCAGCTGACCTAAATAATTGACTTCAGCCTGAAAATTAGATAAAGGCATCAAATAACCAAATTCTTCCCTTTGCAAAGAAGAAGAAATGATTCATAGACCAAACAAGCCCAGTGAAGTTGATTCCCTTTAAAGACTATAAGAAAGTCTAAGAAAGTTGCAAGAAATGAAGTTTTGAAGAGAAGAGATGCTTTAAAAAGGAGATCAACTTGAAGCAATTATTCAACTTAACCCCAAATTGGTACCAAAAAAGTGAAGCTATTGAATGAGACATACAAGGTGAGATCCTAAACAAGTATTTTTCTTTAATTATTCTTAAATTAGTTAATCTTCATTTAACAAGGCAAAAACAAGTAGTTCTATAGGGAAAGTGGCAGAGATAATCAATGACCTCTCATTCTGTGATCCATTTAGCCATCGAACTACAAAAGTGGGTATAAAATACAGCTTCAAACTTTGAAAACATATTTTCCATCCTTCTACTTCAGTGTGTTTGTATGCATGGTTCCATCAACTGAAGGAGAAAGCAGGTGGAATGTCACCGCTTTTTTATATTCAAATTCATAGCTCGAGGGGCAAATCTTGCAAAATGGAAGTTCGTGTTCTAGTTACATGAGTTAAAAACTAAGCAAGTGACATTTAGCTCAATCTTGATTATGACAATCTTGTAACAGTTTTATCATATTTCCAATTCTACCCACCTAGCAAAGAATTTCTCTTTTTTATGAGGCAATAAACTCCTAGAAGTTATTAGAACCATAAGAACATTTTTCTGTTTTCTATTGAATGAATAATAATTGGACATACACAATGTAAGAATAAGAGACAGAAACACATGTGGAAGCACATACCAGCCATTCTCTATCACCTTGGATTCCTTCTGGATCAAGCTCCTTAACAGCAACTTGGGTTTTAGCATAACCAGGCCTCACATTTTCATCTATAACTCCTTTATAAACAACTCCAAACCCACCCTCACCAAGAACTTGATCTGGCCTAAAGAGTTTGGTGGCCATTCGCATCTCATCATATGTAAAGATATCAAGATTGCTATATCCAGGATTCTGCCGTAGATCTTTAACATTTTTGGTGATCACAACTACACTGCTAGGACTTTTTATATTTGGCGACTCCAACGAACTCTGTTTAGGTGGAATCTTCAAAGCTTCTTTAGATGGAGATGGTTGGATTTCACCTGAAATTTTCAGTTTTCATCCAATAACTACAGTCTGATTATAACTCTCTAAAAACTAAAGTTTCAATTTCCCTATTTTATATTGCATCTAAACTTGAATGAAAAGCCATCTAGTTTTTACTTAAGAAAGATTAAGGTAAGTCATTCATAACCAAACTACCAATATAACATAACATAGCATTTAAGAAGATATTTTACAATCTGTCTATAATTGCAAACAACATCATGGAACTAAGTTGTAGGAAGTACTTATCTCCACATAGAAACATACATAAATCACATTTCTTAGTTCCACTACTAGAGTATACTTTCCCAGAAGAAGATTGTCCAAATATCACTCACTTAGGGTCTCTTTATTAGCAGCTTAACAAGTTTAATGGGACTCACAGCTGGAAACCAAGTTTTTCCCAAACCTGTAGGGACAATTAAAAAAACGTGCTCCTTCCATCCAAGAAAAAACCCTCTCTAATCTGTAGAGAGAGATTAATCTTATCCATACAGGACTTAATGGAAAACCAACCACATAGTCCCTTAACCAAAAGATCCCCAGCTTTGTGGAAAGTTACGTATGCAAATTTTTCCAATTTCAAAGTGGTTATTGTTTAAAATCAAACCATAGAGCCTTGTTGGTTGTTTCAAAGACACCCCTCTTCTTATTTACACTAATCTCATTTAAAAGGACACATATTTAGGTGTAAACTTGCAAAGCATTCTATATGATGGGCAGAAGAAAAGAAGCATTTTGGGTTTTAAATATAAAGAACTTTTATTTCGATTTTTGGAAATTGGAGAGTATGATGAAAATATCTGAAAACAGAAGTGGACTCTTTGGACATATTGATCACGCACAAAAAGAAGAAGCAGATGATGATGAAGAATCACTTGTTCTTCATCCCTAATTACACTTTCCAAATTTACTTTCAATATTTAAATCTAATAATCTTCAACCAACCCTAGGGCTAATCAACTTAACAATGCGTGCACGAAACGAAAGAAGAAAAAACATCAAGATTTTTGAATTGAAATCGTAGAGAGATACCTGGCTTGGTCTGGAAAGAATGGTGTTCATCATACTCAGAACTGAAACAAGTACCCATCAATCAACCTATCTCAAGTTACAAAAGAAACAAAAACCCAGATTCGAATTTCTCACCATTAACACATTGTTAAGGATTTATCAGTCACAGACACACTTAAAATAAAGAAATATAAACATCTCTCTCACTCCATTTCATCCTGCCTCACTAATTTCTAGGAAAAATCTTATCACTTCTTCTTTTTTATCCTCAAATCTGCAGTTTACCAATCTGGTTTGTGCAAAATATCAAATGGGTGGTCGGAGATTACAACTAATTGACCGGAATCTGATCTGGGTCTCACGAAGAATTCTGTAATGAATATAAACTACAAAAGAGTTGGAAGAAAGACCCTTTCTTTGGTACACTGGTATTTATGACGAGAAACTGAGAGATTTTATTTGTGGTATTTTCTTTCCTCTTTTAAATTCAGGGTTTAATGAGAGAGAAAAAATATGCACAAAATAATATGCCAAAACCATTGTCTTCTGGTGTGGACACCTTTTACAAAATTCAAAGAGTAAAGTACAAGTTTGGTCCCCAAGGTTTGTCAAAAATAACAATGTTTGTCCTTATAGTCTTAAAATCATAAGATAATCATTATAGTTTGTAAAAACGTGTGAATTTGATCACTGTCTCTAATAATCGTTAAAAATTTCGGTTAAATGAGAAGCATTTTTATCACTTTATCGAATAAAATTGATTTTATTATTTTAGTTGTTGTACTTTTGATCGGATAAAAAGAAATAAAAAATGAAAATGCCCCTTTTCTAACGAAATTTTTTAACCACTGTAAGAGAGGAACTAAATTCAAACTTTTTTATAAATCATAATAATCATCTTGTAATTATTAACTGTAAGAATAAAAAATGTTATTTTTTAACAAACCACAAATACCAAGTTACACTTTACTCAATGTCAAATTAACAACAATTTTAACCATAGAAAGTAAGATGCATTAAAATTAATAAAAAAAATTGATTTAGTTATTACTTAAAGGAAATTAAAAGATATAACATATTTTCAGTCTTTCCTATTTTACATTTATTTATATATCAATTTGGTTTTCAGTAGTAGAATATTGTAAAAACATGAAATTAAAAATCCTAAATAATAATAATAAAAGTATGAACAAATGATTAACGGAGAACAAGGTTAAGTTAAGATAACAAAAAAAATATAAAACTATTTATCAGGAACTTACAAATGTTTTATCTTTTAGGATTTTTTTTTATCAAATGAATTTATTTGCTCTATTAACAATCATAATCTATATAAAACTCTTAAATTTTAAAGATGATTTATTAAGGTGACGTTTGTTTTTTTAAGAGATGTTGAATTCTGAAGTCTTATTTCACTTATGATTAATAATAATTGATGCTGAAATCTGAATCAATAAGACTGTTTGTTTTGTAAACTGATAAATGTCTACATTTGTTTAAATTGTCTATTTTACTCATTAAAAAATTATAGTGTTGCATTTATAGATAAATTTACACGATTTCACATATTTATTTATCATAATTGTGAATTTACGTCTAATTTATATAAGTAGCATTCATTTAAATGAAAAAAAATGTCGCTAACGGTATTTAACACATTTAAATTATATTAAAATACATCACTTGAGACACGTAAGGATCGATTTGTTAAGGATCCATTGGGAGAAATGATCGATTAAGGTTAATCGATCGAGGAACAACATTGCTAAGAGTTTGGATTACAATAAGAGGTAAATAAGAGATTGGTTTACCTCTCACCAGATAAGAGAAAAATAAGACATAAGTGTCTCTGAAAAATTAAAAAAAACAAACAGTCTGAATGACGCAACCTCTTAACGAATCAAATATAAGAGATTGATAAAAGATTTAAAAAAAAAAAAACCAACAAGGCTTAAGAGTTTTAATTCATTGAAATTTTAAGCTGAAAGCATGCCTACTTAGGTGCAAGAATAAAATATGGAGTGACTCCATGCTTATAAAATGAGTCGGAGTTTTGTTTATCTCAAATTTCCATCAAATGTATTTTAAGGGGGTGTTTGGTGCTTATAAAATAACTTAATGACTTATTCCGGTGTAACACCGATAATAAGCACATTTGAGTGTTTGGATAAACAACTTATACCGGTAATAAGGAGCTTTTGAAGAAGTTAAACCATTCTAACTTATAATAAGTTGATAAGGACTTTTATAAAAAAACATAAATTATTTCAAATAAACAATCTTAAACATCCCTTAAGTATTTTTTTTTCTTGTTATAAAATATAGAAAGATGAGTTAAATGTTTGGAGTACACAAATTTAATTAAGATGACTTAATAGATTAGTCCGTCTGATTGTTATAAACTTTCATATAAAAACTTCTCTTTAAGTCAGTGTTTAAAAAAAATATTGAAATAATTTTACATATTCAAATGAAAATTTTGTTTTATAATAAAAGTTGATATTAATTTACAAATTTACTTTCCACTTCGTCAAATATAAACACAAATATTACATCATCTTTCTAGAAAGCTAAGGACACAATGTGTGTGGGGTTGTTGGCCATTTCTTTTTGCCCTTATTATGATATGAGAATCTGAAGTTGAGTAATATTCTTTATTGAAAAAATCTAAATACTGTTGGATATGAAATTTGGATATTATACGAGAAGTAAAATTTAAACATTGTGTCCATATTATTTTTGATTTTATTATTAACAGATAATTACATTACAATGAAACAATTTCTTAAAATTGTCACTTTAAATTCTAATTCAAACTTTATGTTTGGTTAGGGGTCTAATTTACCTAATAACCTGTTATTATATATTATATCAAATTTAAAAGTTAAAAATAGTAGTAAATCTTGAACAATAACATGGCATCGATAATATAACATGAGTCCTTAACTTTTTTTCATTTGACAACTAAAATTCTATAAAATGAAAATAGTAAATTACATCCCTTTCCACTTGTTTAATATCAACAACCCAACCCAACCCAACCCAACTCATCTTCACATCTCAACTATGACATGAAAACTAACCAAAATTCTCGAACACAACTCATACCTAGGTGATTATTAAGAACACAAAAACATGAATCCAGATCATTAATTCTAAGCATAACATATACATCAACCCCATTTTTACCCACAAAATTAAATACAAACACAAGAAATAAACACAAATAAGAATTCATTCAAAAAAGTTTGTACAAAATACAAGATAAACAACTTATTTGTACAAAACCCCCTAAATATGTGAATCTATATATTTTACATCTGAAACAACTTCCTCAAGCAACCGAATTAGTGTAAATAAGAAATGCATTTGAAGAAACGGGGTTTAAAATAAGAAATCGAACTCCAGATCTAGAAACCCCAAATTAGGGTTTGATGCGTTGATCTCCTAGTGCCGGTGTTGAACATCTTGGGGGAGGGTGGAGGTTTGTGTGATCAATGATGATTGCAGTGTAGGGGGAGGATGAATAATGACGATGTGGTTGTGGTGTAGGGAGAACTCCGAAGCAATACTAAATTGAGAGATCTTCGAAGCAAAAAATCTGGAAGAAGATGAAGATTGTGCTATGCAATTTAAAGGATAGGGTAGGGTCGGAGGGGACAGAGTTGACCAACGAGTAGGAGGAGGGGACTGAGTTGACTGACGAGTAGGAGGAGGGAACGAAATGGATTGAGATCTAGTTGAGGGGATGGAATTGATGGTCGTATAGGACGAAGTTGCCGGTCAGAGGGGATTGAGACATAGGGAGATTCCCTTTATCGTAGTCAAGTTCACTATCACTTGAAGTTCCATCTAGAGCAAGCAGTTCTGTTGATCCTCTCTCTCATGATAATGCCTTTTATCTTTTGAAGTATTATGTTTCTATCTTTTCAGTTCCAGCGACCATCAATGAGTTTGTTCAGTGATCGCTGAAACATGTATTTTAATCCTACAACGACAACGATACTTCAAGAAGACAAAACTCACAACCAAGAACCTTCAGTGAATGTCGAAGACTGAAACTGAAGAATAATGACTAGTGCGTTTGTGATCTGAAGTGGTATTCAGTGAGTACAACCTGGCCAACATACGTGTGAAATCTGCACAAGCCTTAGTGAATGTTGAAGAAATCTCTAGCGTTATTCCAGCATTCAGTGATCAAATGAATCTTGCCATTCATGATTGTTTTTGTCTTGTCCTTCCACAGACAAAGGACAAACCCATACCCTCTCAAGAGTATAGTACTGCACGAAGCTGACTAGTCGACTCTAGTGCCCACCAACTCATGAAAGGATGTCTGATCATGAATAGACAACATTACTATTCACTGTGGCAAAGGACAAGCTTTCCTCTAAAAGCTTGACGCATGTTCTACCTCTTCTGAATTGCATTTAATGCAATGGGTATAAATAGCTGAGTGCTCTCCTCAATCATGCTATACAACACATACATACGCTTATCTTCAAACAAGTTAGAATTTCTCTCTAATTCTAAAGTTCATACCCAAGAAGAACACCTTTCTATCTTTATCTTTTTCGGCAAATTTCTTATATTTTCTAAGTGTATCTGTGTGTAATTCTAGATTGTTTTAGATAGGTTTTTCTTACCTTTTTTATTTCCGCAAACAATCTGTAAAAATCTGTATTGATCCTTATATATCAATATATATTTTGAAAAGTGAAAGTTTCTGTATTTGTATTCATCCCCCCCTTCTACATATCGTTCGCCTCTAAACTCTTGTAGATCCGGCTGAGACCAACAAATGGTATCATAGCAGTGTTATTTCTTGTCTTGTTTAGTTGTTTATCTGCATTTTATTATTTCTTCTTCGTCTCTAGATAATTTACTGCTTTACAAATGGCTTTACAAAACATCAACACAAACTTTCACGACAATGGCTCTCTTGCCAAACCTCCCTGATTTATTAGAGACAACTTCAGTCTCTAAAAAAATCGGATGTCTCTCTTCTTGGAGGGTGTGGATCCTGAGATTCCACATTATATAGAGAATGAACCTTATGTTCCATACGCTATATCTCCGAATGTTCCTAAAACAGCTACGACTGCCGCGATTCCTGAACGACAGATTCCAAAGCTCCCTCATCAATGGAGTGATGAAGACAAGAAGAAAGTGGCTATAGATACTCGTGCGAGATCTATAATAGCCATGTCTCTTCCTGACGAGGTTTATCATTATGTAATGAAGCTTAGAACCTCGAAATCCATGGCGTTTCTTTTATGGTTCATATTCCAGATTGGGTTCATCCCTGTAGTAATCGAATGAATTGTGTTGTAGACATGAAAGCGTAAGAACTCAGCGGGTTCCCTTCTTTGTTTGTCTAATTTGAGGGAGAAGGTTCCGTTGAGTTCTTAATAATTAG